TATATATATACTACACACAGTTGCACACACCTCTCCTTTTCACGCTGCCTCACACACTCACACTCTCACTCAAAACACACACTCAACCTATACATACACCGCCTCTGTATGTAAGTATCTACCGATGATCGATCCGCTTGAATCGAGGGCCTAACGCTGATCTGAAAGCTCTGCAACTAAAGCGTGAGCTCACCTATCAAGCTGTTTCCGCCATTTTGTTTTTCTTTTTTCAATGTGTTAAATGTTCATTCAATTTTTTGTTCTTTGTGTGTGTGTTTGTGTGTGTGTGTGTGTGTGTGTGTGTGAGGCAAGTTTGTGCGTTCGTCTTACCTTACATGGATTTGTAGATGATAATGTATTGTTTATTTATTTATTGTAAATTTTACTAGAAATTTTGTGCTGTAAGTTTGAAGTTCGGTTGTTTTTGCATAGATCTGAGGATGAATTCCTACTATAATTTGTTTCCTGTTGTAATGGATGATTCGAGAAGCTCATTTTAGTTGTACAGATCATTTTTATGTCTTTTTTTTTATCATTTTGAGATTTTTGGTCGATACATTGTTAAAAATGGCGACGTGATAGAGGAGAAACAAGAAGCTATCTTCCTAGATGCTTGGAAATAAATTTTCGTGGTCTGACGGGATTTAAGCACATTTGGAAGTAATGAAATTCTGTCGGGCTCGTCTATTTCTAGTGTCGGGGATTGTTTCTTATTCACTATTTGATTCTGAGTACTTGAAATGACAGCATTTGGATGAAAATTTATCGACTTGTTCAATGTCTTAGTGTTTCTCGGTTTCTTTTCAGAATGATTTATTTTAATTAATGTGATGAGACAGGAGGTGAGAATTTCTTGTTGCCAGAGCATTCCAGGTTACTGCATTATCGAGCTACAACTCATGGAGCATAAGGTATTGCTCGTGTACTTTGCAGTTAGTGAAATATTTGTGTTGTGCGTCTTCACCATTCTGTGGAAATGTTAGAAAGACGAATATATATTTTGACTCAACTATTCTATCAATGGATGGATAATATTTCATCTTTTCTCTACTTCGTTGGTCCTAATGTTAGCTTAGGCTCAGTGAAATCACAATCATAATGTGGCATTATATTTTTGTCAGTTGGCCAGTACTTAAAGTTGTCGAATTACATAGTAAACAAAATATGTCAATGGGACTAAGTTGATAAAGTAAAAAGATTGCGAAGTATGTTGTTTTGATGATATAGTTAAGTATGAATAAGTGGTTCAGTTCTGGACAGAGATATGATTGCAATGGGCAATAAAAATTTAATAAGTAACATTTAAATCATGACAATCTTGCAATCTTGAGGCCTACTGTCTAGTCGATATTGCACGGATTTCTGTTCACGTGCTTACTTTTTTCAATTCAACAGTCATCTAGGACACATTCAGGTTAGTCAAGTTTCATGTATGATGCGTAGTGAGTAGAAATGCCACAAACTGACATTTTGCATATCTTCAACCGCTGTTGAAGTTTCATTAACCAAATTGTTTGCACTAAATACGCACCATGGTTTTGTATATAATAAGCTGCTTGTTTTAACTTTATTTGTGGTATACCTGCAGTGATCGTGAAGGTGCATTATTTTTTTCAAGAAACTGCTGTCCCATGAAGAATGCAGTCATGAGTGACGAGAATAGGGTGTCCAACCTTAGACAGCCCAGTGTGCGAATTACACGAGCACGGGCAAAAGCCTTGGGCTCATCAAGTGGATTGCCACCTTTACACCCTTCATTCAAACAAGATGACAAGCCTGTGTTGCGGGCACACTTGAAGAGAGCAGTGTCAGATAACAAGAAACCATCAAGTGCAGCTGCTTGTGCGCCGCATAAGAAAAGGGCTGTTCTTAAAGATGTAACTAATATTGCCTGTGATGATTTGTACATAAACTGCATAAATGCAGCCAGAGTTCAGGTAAGGTTGCCATCATGGTTTTGTTTAATCTCTTTAGGTTCTAAGATTTTTCTTCATCCTTGAGCTTTAGATCTTCAAAGAGTATATCTAGACTCTTCTTCTTTCTAAATGATGTTACTGAATATAGATATTGTTAGTTTCAGCCTAGCAGGACGAACAGAAATGATCCGTCACATAAGAAGGGAAAGGTGGGGACTCCTTGTTTTCCTAAAAAGTCAGAGGCTCCAGGAGATAGAAGAGAAAATATAAATGATGAAGTCAAAGTAGATGTAGTAAAATCTCAAGAGAACTCCACAAGGAATTTGACAACTGAACCAACCAAAATTGTTAATGCGAATATGATGGATGTAGCAGGTCTGATTTCTACCATGACAGATTCCAGTAAAAGCGTCCCACTAACAAGTTCAATGAGTAGAGGTTAGATTTGTATGAAGCTTTTCCACCTGGAGTATTTCACATATCAACTTTGTGAATCAGTTGCATCATAAATTTCAGTTCTAATATGCTTATTTCTGGTAGCGTCATTTTACATTTTAATGTTTGCTACATTACAATGGAGAAATNACCTTTTTTTTTTTTTTTTCTCTTTGTGTTTACAAGTGCCACCCTTGGTCGTAATCAAGTCGTTTTTGGTTGAAATACACAGAAATGGTATTTTTGTGGACACAATGACAAAAGGCTACATTCTTGCAAATTTCCTCATTACAATGTAAATGCATACACGTCTTTATTTTTCCAGGAGAGTTGTGAATTTTATTAGAAACCAATTTAAAGTCAGTTTGTGACCGTATGATAAAGAAATGGTTTTCTATGTTTAGACTACAAATGGCAGAAAAGAAGCTTCACAATCCACAGGTTCTTTTCTCTCGGTCAATTCAGAAAGCAAATTTCTGTATTAATTTTTTGCTTGAATGCATTTTTAATTTGCTTGATGCGGTTTCATTCATTTGCATATACCGACGAAAAGGAAAATTTATGATTGATCATCAACACCGCACTTTTATTATTTTTCGGTCAATTTTGTCTTGACAAATGTGGCAACCATGTAATTGCCAATGTGGTGAAAAGCTGGTAGTTTATGCACCTGAGTCTACGAAGGATTAATTCCATTTTCAAATGACCTGAGGGATATATATCACTAGACATTGTCGTTATTTATTGTCTGCCTCCTTGTTTGACAATTTTGTTTATCATACAGAAGATGCCATGCTTTGCATGGAAAAGGAGAGCTTGGAAGACAGTGGAATTACCGACATAGATTCAAAACACAAGGATCCACAGATGTGTAGCCACTATGCAGCTGATATATATTCTGCTATGTATATAAGACAGGTTTGTCAGGCCACCATCTTCACACATTACCCTATGTGCCTCTATAAGACCTTTTTGTAGTCATTTAATTGTGGGTGCATGCGAATTTTTGTCATAATGCATTTATGAGTTCTAAGTTACTTTGCTAGTCAGCATACAATAATCTACAATACTTCAATCATTATTCACAAGGAATTGGTCACAAAATCTGATATATATTCAGTAGATTGACTTTATTTTTTTCTCCATTCCAATAAATGGTTTTGTTTCATTCTCATAAGAAGTCCTGTTCTTCCCTCAGATTGACCGGAGGCCTTTGGCTGATTATATGGAAAAACTGCAACGAGATATTACTGAGGGTATGAGGGCTATACTGATTGATTGGCTTGTTGAGGTTTGTCAACTCAAATATCATATAGTCTACTATCATACTTAGTTTACCATTGTCTTGTTTGAACTACATTATCATTCGTCGATATAGTCATTGCATTCTCTTTCATGTAATGTTTGTTCAGATGTTGTTTTCAATATGAAGTAGCAGTTTTGTCTTTTAATAATTACCAAGAAGGTCTTGCATTGAAAGAATGAAACATCCTTTGATTTTGCTCTCCGAGATTCCGTCCTCAATCTTCACTATAATTATTATACCTTACCTTTTGTGTTGTCTCATGTGCCTTGCCTCTTTTCAGGTTTCTGAAGAATATGGGCTGATGCCCGATACACTATACCTGACTGTAAATCTCATTGATAGATTTCTATCTGAGAATTATATGACAAAGCAGAAGCTTCAACTTCTTGGTGTGACCTGCATGCTCATTGCCTCGTAAGTTATTTAGCGAAAAGCGATTGGATATAACAACATAATATATCCTTGCTTTACATGTTGTTTCGCTGTCGTAAAATACTTTATGTCACTCTCTCAAGTTGTCTCCGGAATAATCTGCATACTACAGTTGTACACTGATAATTATCCTACTTTTCATGCAAATATTTAATTAATTAATGATTCTGGATCTCTAAGGTGGTAGATATGAGGGCCATTTTGTCAAGCAAACAAGTACCGTTAGCCTTTGACCGTCTTGCTTTGCTCTTACTTGTATTCTACTGATATATTGTCTATAGGAAATACGAAGAAATTTGTGCGCCTCGTGTGGAAGATTTTTGCTTTATAACAGACAACACCTACACGAAAGAAGAGGTATGTACCTGTCTATTTCAATGACCTCCTCTGTTTTGTATCCGACTGTGTTAGTGTGGCTGCATAAATCAATTCTTTATGCAAAACTGACAGGTGGTGAAAATGGAAAGTTGTGTTCTGAACTTTTTGGGATTTCAACTATCTGTTCCCACCACAAAGAAGTTTCTTAGGTATCTAGTGTATCTGGACTTTGTGATCTTTATTTTTCACTCAAATGCTGCATCCCTAAGATCTGTTCTCTTAATCATCTTTTATTTCTGTGTTTACAGGAGGTTTATTCAAGCAGCACAAGTTTCTTACAAGGTACAAGTAGACTAAATGGTGTCGAGATTTGCTCCTATCCTCTTGAGATTCACCTTAGTTACACAAAAATTGAATCCATTTCCAAAATTGTATGATTACATCCTCAGTTTTTCATCCCTATTACATCCTGTGAGTTAAATTTGTAAAAGAGAAGCTCATGTCAAGAGGATATTACTAAATTGTGAAACCCTTTTTTAAAAAATAAAAATAAAAATTCTTACTCCTTCAGTTACAACTATCTTTCAAGTTTCGTGTTTCCAAAAGAACCAACAAGAAAAAATAAAATAAAAATAATAAATAGAACTGGACATGAACAATTTCTCCATTTTCCAGGTCCCGTCTGTTGAGCTGGAATTCTTGGCTAACTATTTAGCAGAACTAACTGTAACGGACTACAGTTTCCTGAAATACCTACCATCCATGATTGCTGCCTCTGCTGTGCTTCTAGCCAAGTGGACTCTTGATCAGTCTGAGCATCCATGGGTTAGATTTCTTCTCAGCCATTTGATGCCATTTTCCTTTTCTGTTCCGAATTTATATTGTATAATGATAAGCATGCCTTGAGCAGAATCGAACACTGGAATACTACACGAGGCATAAGACGTCAGAGCTAAAAACGGTTGTTTTGGAACTGCAAAACTTACAGCTTAACCCGAGCGGTAACATGTCGGGTGCCGTACGCCTCAAATACAAACACTCCAGGGTGAGACTCTAAAAAGTGCATTTGCCACAAAAAATAAATGATTTTTAAAAAGGTCCAAATTTTTTCAAAACCTTTAGAGTTTCTTTCATTCTATCTTTTAACCACTTTTGTCCTAAACTCTTGTATCCAAATCAAATGGCTGGGCAACTAAAACACCTTAAAAATTATGGAACTTGTTAGTTATTTATTATTTGTTTTTGTGTTGATGGCAGTTCAAGTGCGTTTCAACTCTGCGTTCATCACAATCGGTTGAATCGGTTTTCATAGAATAAATAACAAGTCTCTTGCAAAATGATTGGATGTTCAGTAAAAGCTACTCTACTGAACTCGACTTATCTCAACCACTGAACTTGACTTATTATCTCAACCACTGAAGGACAAAACCCAGTAGATAAATTGGAGCAGTACGAGGAAGGCCTGTCCTCATTCTTTATTCGTGATCGTGCAACCCCTCAACCATAATTTATTTATTCGTACGGTTGTCTGTAAATCAGTTCTGGTGTTCCCAGGCTGCATTTTGTAACGGGAAATTTGTAAAAAGAGCTGGAACCTCTGAGATAAATTACTATTCTACTGAACAGAGGATTCCTTTCTTTCCTTAAGCATTTTGTGAAGTTAATATTTTTTTTTTTTTGTGTCGTTTTGGGAGGAGCTAGCTAGCTGCTGGCTGGCAGGGTCTCTAGGATCTTATCTTTTGTCTTTGTACAAGCTATGTTAACTCAGTTTCTGACATGCTATTCTGTCAATGGAAATAATCTCTCTACTTCACTGTGATTGATGTTTGTTGTACCCCATGTCTTTTTAAAACTCTGAGAAAATTGAAGCTTTATTTTTTTTTATTTTATTTTTTTTTAAAAAAAATAATTTTTCATGACACTCAAATATGATTACAAATGATCCCCAACTAGCTTAGACTCGAAATATGTAACAAATTGGGGAAAACTCAACAAGAGCCTGCCTCCCTAAACAACAACTACTTGGGTCAAACAAATCATCAACAACAAACAACTAAACAAAACAAAAATCACAAGAATCCAACAACATAACTCAAGAGATGTCGTCCTCTACCATTATAGAAACAAAAGAGTCGGTCGAACAAGGCACGATTATTATTAAGATTTTCAGCCAACATTTTGTCTTCAAGGTATATATATCACTACCCTCTTCCACCTAAAGTGAGACGACTCCCTCTCCAGCCATCTTCAAATATCTAGCAACACAACTTCCACCAAATGAAGATGATCATCATCCCTAGAAGATCACCAACGAAGGTTAAACCTTTCACCTTCACTCCCCTCCTCTCTGGAGAACTTCCTTTCAACTTGTTGACCAAATGTCCGTCATTAATTGCCTCAAACTCCATCCACTACATTCTTGCACCAGTTTGACTTCAAAAAGTATTTTCCTTCCTAAAAACTCAACTATTATTCCGTGTTTTCCACAGCCACCAAAGCAGCAAATATGTAGACAAAAAAAACATATTTGTCCTTGTTGTGGTCATAGTCTGACATGAATATGATACATGCATCCTCCGACTTGACTTAACCCGGGCATTCTGAAGTTTATCCTAAGTAATACCAACTCATTTCCAAACTATTTCACATCTAAACATCTCAAGTGCTCAAGATCCTCCACCTCATCCCCACACCAGCAACAAATTACATCCCCAATATGAACTTTGTCTTATTCCAATTGTTCCAGCATCTCCATAGAAAGCACCTCACCTTATTTTTAACTGGACAACTCCTAGTCCTCCTCCAAATTTTCTATCTATCTCCACCTCCCTTGCTTGTTCCTACCCCTCTCGTACTTTCCTTCTTCTTCCGTTGACTTATCTCGTAGCCTTCTTTGACAGTGAAAATCCCTTTAAACCAGTCTATCTCTTATAAACTTGTTTTTCCAACTAGCAAAAATATCCTTTTTTTTTTTTTTATCTGTCAACTCCCAAACGAAGTCCCAGATATCTAGAGTTTTTAGCCACAACAAGTCCATTAAAGATTTGACAGCATTTAGATTTAGAGTGATCCAGAGTATTCACAGAAAAAATATATACAAGATTTAAGCAGATTAACAGAGGTAGCACAATAAACTTTCAAGACATTCAACAAAACCATGGCATGATAAGAACAACTTAATAAGAGAAAGATTGTTTATTATAAGACCCTGAAAAGACTGATAACACAAGAGATTTTTGCTCGAAAGAGTGTTTTATTATTTCCACTTATAATGAAATCAAAGATGATCACATAAGCTATTTAAAGAAGAGAAAATACTAAGCCTATGAGAAGATAAATTCTAATCCTAAGGAAAGTAAAATACATGGTCCTAAGAATTACCAAATTAATCAAACACCTATGCTAATTAAGAATATAATTATAGTAAAAACTAAACTAGGAAATTTGGATAGCTTGCCCCTCAAGACTTGCTGGCCAACTTGCGCCCCACGCCTCGCGCGACGGTGCAGCTGCCTCGCGCATCGTCTTGCGCGGTCACGCGTTGTCTACCTTGTGCGCTTTCTTGCTCGGTCGTGCGTTGTCTTTCTTGTAGATCCCCTGTTGTGTAGCTTGCTACGACGACATCCTTCCTTAATGCGCGAACCTCTGCGTACTCGCGGGGCTCATTAATGCACACATGTATCGCCCGTTTGTACGAGTACTTGAGCATCCGACCTTCATTCGCATCATTTGTGTTCGACTCTCTCTTGTGCTCTTCTCGCTCTGTTGTTGGCAGTGGCAGTCTCCGACTCTGGTTGTTTTGGGGCTGTAGTTACCGACTCGTGTTGGGGTAAAGTCTTGACGCATGCATGCCTCCCTTGTTTACCGGAGGTTTTCCTTCGAGAGGGTATGCAGGTCGTAGGCCAGAATTTAGTTAGCCAACGTTTGACATTTAGATTCATGTCTGGGTCTGCTACATTTGGGTCCAGAGTAGCTGGTCAGCTGGTGGGGAGGGCTTAATTCTGGTATTGCTAGTTAGTAGTTTGTGTGTGTTAAATGTTCTTCTGTGTCTATTTTGGATGTTTATTCTCATATGACAATCCTATTCTATTCTCTACCAGTAGAAGCTTTAGTTTATTGTAATGTGAGTGTGCTATAGTAATTTAGGCTCTTTTCTTTTTTTCGGTACAAAGAAGGAGGTCGAAGGTCTAAAGAACGTCTAGTTCAGAGTTCGGCGGGGATAGGAAACCCCGATTAGGTCATGATGTAGCCACTCTCCCAACCCGGTGGGAGGGGAGAATAATCCATGGAGGCCAACCGACCTAGTAGCCGCCATTTAGGCTCTTCTTTGAGTTGTAGGATCAACTGTTCGGATGTTACCAATTTTTTATTATTATTTTTTTTAATTTGTAATATTCTATAGTTAAAAATCAAGAGAGAGATACATAAAATCTCTCCCATGTACTTTTTTTTTTTTGGCATTACTATTTACCGTCCCCCTATTACTAGTCACCGCCCCCCTTGGACGATTTTGCCCTTTTAATTTTTTGTGTCCGCAAGATGTCGACCAGCTCGGAGGTTAAAAAAAAAAACCGACGGGCCCGTTTTACCGCACGGCACCGGTGATGTCCGGCCGACCGGACCGGACGGCTTAACACACGTCCGGCCGGTTCGACCGGACACACCCTCGGCCGTCCGGTTTTGGGTGCCGTACGTACCGGTGGTTGTACAAACGGACCGGTCGTACGGCCCTCTTGGTGTCTGGCCGCGACGGCCGGTTGTAACCCGGTCCGACCGGTCTGACCGGCCGGACATCCTTTTTTATTTTTTTTTTATTATTAATTTTAAATGGTTTAAAATTATTAAATACATTGCAGGTGTCTTTAGAAGATTTTGGAGGAGATGGTGTTGATTACCGTTCCGCTTTCAATACAACTACGCTGTTTATTAGTGATGTGGATGCTATTAAGGATGCAAAAAGTACGGCAATTCTGAATGGTTTCTTTTTGACTATTTCGAAACACAAAAAACCCGGAAGGCTGAAGATCTTGAAGTGCGATCGAGGCGAACGTTATAGATGCAAAAACGTAGATATGAATAAAGCTGTTTCGAGACGTTCAAAAACGAAAGCGTGCCAGTGCCCTTTTGAGATACAAGTAAAGCGTGTTGCCAGATCGACATACTGGATGATCCACACGAGTCAAGACGAAACGAAGGGATACCATAATCATTCATTTGCCGTGTATCCTGAGGGCCATCGACAGTCGAGCGACATAAGCGTGTCATCCAAAAAAATTATTCGTGAAATGACTGCTGCGCATGTGACACCAGCAAATATTTTGGCCGCCGTCCATGAAAAAAATCCACACGACCATGCTAATCGGCGACATGTATATAACTATAGAGACTGGTTGCGTAAGGAAAGTTTTGAGGGTAGGAACGTTCCTACCCAACTTCTACATTTGGTAAACAGCAGCAACTACATAGTTTATACAAATGTCGATCCGAATACAAATGCGCTGACACACATATTCATGGCCTATCCTGATTCAGTGAGTCTATTCCGGACTTATTATTGGTTTGTCGGCATAGATTCGACGTACAAAACCAACAGGTATTTTAAATTTATAGATATGTTATTAGTATTAATTTAAATTTGTATTTTGGATTAGATTTAATGTGATTATAATTTATTTCTTTTGGTCTCATTTTCACAGGTACAAGATGCCGTTGGTCGAGATGATTGGCATGACGCCGTGCAACAATAACTTTTTAATTGCGTATGCCCTCATGAAGGACGAGAAAGAGGCCAGTTATGATTGGGTTCTCGACAAGTTGAGACTTCTCATAGGCTATACGGTAAGAATTTATATGAAGTACATGATTAATTTAATTAGTATATAAACGTACTTTGTGCTATATGGTAAAAAAAATTTGAGATTTTTTTTGCGTGTCTCACTAATATTTGACGCTGCTCAGGTGCATCCTAATGCGGTTGTCAGTGACAGAGTGTTGGGCTTATTGACTCCTATTAGGAGGCATTTTCCCCAATCTGCCCACTTACTCTGCACGTGGCACATCAACAAGGATGTGGAAAACAAAGTGTACAACTTGTTTGGGAAAGATAAAAATTTATCTGAGAGGTTCTTGCACGGTCGGTGGAAGTCGATTATGGATGCCAGTACGTCGGATGAGTACGACAATGCCGTAGCTCAATTGAATGCAAAATACAGGAATGATTCAAAAGTGGTACAATATCTCGAGCAGACGTGGCTATGCCACAAGGAGAAGTTTGTGAAAGCCTGGACGAACCAAGTAACACATTTTGGCAACACAAC